ACTGTAACACTATAATGGATGTAGATCATACCGAAAGTGAGTAAAAAAAGTGATCGATACAAAGTAAGTGCAAGGCAAACTTTTAAGGTTGGAATTTACTAAGCTGTCTAAAGGATTTTCCATTGTCGAAGTAGCCCCTGGAAATTGCAAGACAGCATAATAAAAAGTTTTTAAATGAACCAGAAATATTTTATGTTTATTATTTACATTTAACACTTTTTTTTACATTATTTTCCATTGTTCCATTAATCTTAGTTCAAAATTAAAATCAATATAAAAAGAAATAGTTGGATATTGTGCGTGGTTCGTATGGGAAAACCTTTCATGAAAATATTCTTAAACAGTCAAAAACCCCCTAAAAAAAATATATATATAAAAAATTAAAAGAGATTTATAGCTGAATAAAACGACATTATAAAAGCAAGAGAATGGCATAAGATTTAATTGTCCACTTTTCCACTTTTGCATACCTCTTCATAAAAGAAAATTGTTTATTTTATCAATTAAACTGATGACAAAGTAAACTTTAAATTCAAAAATATGATGTCAAAATCTTTTAAAATACACAAAAATGTAAAAGTCAGAAAACTTTTGCGAAAATCAACATACCATAGACATTTTCAAGATTTTGCACAGTGCAACATTATGCATAAAAAATCTTAAGTTAAACTGTTGGGGTCGAAATATAAGAAAACATTTAATATAAAAAACCACACACAAAAAAAAATTATGTGCTTTATAAATGACAAGGTAAACTCAGGATTTAATATTTAAAAAAATGGCAAAAAAATGTTTTATAATGAACAGAAATATAAAAGTACTGAAACCTTTCTTTAACTAAAACTATAAATGTAAAACTAGAAATTTAAATATACACTTCTGTTTTAATTAAAAAAAATAATAGTAATAAAATTAAAAGGAGCTAATAATAATAAACCATCTTTCTTTATTTAGTTTAATCATAATAAAATCATTTTTGAAAATAGTCTTAAACAGTCTGAAATCCAAAAGAAAACAAATCAAGACATTTTCACCTAAAAGAACAGGAGGGAAGCATGATAATTATTTAAAACTAAAAAGGAAACAAATTAGAAATATTTTTAATAAATATACACAATAAAATTTTTCTTTGTTTAAATTGACAATCAATGTAAAAAGAATGTTAAAAGTGCATGACTTAAGGAAAAATTTTTGGTGAAAAATGTCAACCATTTTGAAATCGCAAAGAAATATTTAACAGAGGTTTTTGGTAAAAGTCAAAAACAGTAGTACATAGGCAAAAGAATTGTTCATGATCAGTTAGACAAGAAAGAAAAATAGTAATTTAATTACAGGATTTAATACTTAAAAATATGGGAATAAAACTTTTACAATGAACAGAATTATAAAATTACTAAAACCTTTCCTTGAATAAAACTAGAAATGAAACAAACTAGAAATTTAAAAAAATCAAAAAGCATATAGGTATAATAAACCATATTTCTATACTTAATTTAAACATTAAATAATTATACAACTTTTGTAAAAATAGTCTTAAACAGCCAGAAAATCCAAACTAAAAACCAACAGAAATTTACACCTAAAATGTTTGTTGAAAATAGTGCGTGACCATATGAAATAATTTTCAGTGAGAATCACCACTGTTTTGAAACTCAAAAAGAAAAATTTAGCCAAGGGTTATAGCAAACTCAAAAACATTATGTAAGCACAAATTGTTCATGGCAAGTTAGACAAGGAAGAAACACAGTCTAATTTAATTACAGGATTTAATATTTGCAAATATGAGAATAAAACTTTTTTTTTAAGTGAAACATTTCCTTAAATAAAATTAGAAATAAAACAAACTAAAAATTAAACAAGCTAGAATAAACTTTTTTTGTGCCAACTTGTGAAAATAGTCCTAACAGACTGAAAGCCCAAAGAAAAAATCAGCAGATGTTACACTTAAAAAGATTTTTGTGAGTAATACATGCCCATATGGAATGGAAAAATCTTCAGTGAAAATTGTCTTCACCGTTTTGAACCCCCCCCCCCCAAAAAAAAAAACCCAAGGTTTTTGCAAAACTCAAAAACAGTATATAAGCAAAAGTATCGTTCATGATGAGTTAGACAAGAAAGAAAAATAGTAATTTAATTAAAGGATTTAATATTTAAAAATAAGAGAACGAAACTTACATTGAAAAGAATTTGAAAGTACTGAAACCTTTCCTTGAATAAAACTAGAAATAAAAAAAATAAATAAATAAAAAAAACGAATAAACCATTTTTTAAATTATTATTATTTGTTTAAACATAAAATCATTACAAAACATTTGTGAAAATAGTCTTAACAGCCTATTAAGAGAAGCCCAAAAGAAAAAATCAGCAGAAGTGTAAACTTAAGAAATTTGATGAAAGTAGTGCATGCCTATATAGAAAATTTTCAGTGAAAATTGTCACCACTGTTTTGAAACTCTAAAGAAAAATTTAGCCAAGGGTTATGGCAAAACTCATAAACTTTATTTAAGCAAAAATTGTTCATGACGAGTTAGACAAGGAAGAAAAACAGTCTAATTTAATTACAGGATTTAATTACAAATAATGAGAATAAAACTATTACAATGAACAGAATTTTCAAAGTACTGAAACCTTTCCTTGAATAAAATTAGAAATGAAACAAACTAGAAAGTTTAAAAAAAATTAAACAAGCTAGAGTAAACCATATTTTTTTGCTTAGTTTAACCATAAAATCATTATAAAACTTTTGTGACATATAGTCTTAACATCCTGAAAGCCCAAAGAAAAACTCAGCACACGTTTACACTCAAAAAGAATGTTGAAAGTAGAGCAGCCCATATGGAAAAATCTTTGGTGAAAATTGTCTTTATTTTACTAAGAAAAATAGTAATTTAATTAAAGGATTTAATATTTAAAAATAAGAGAACAAAACCTTTAACAATGAATAGAAATAAAAAATACTGAAACCTTTCCTTGAATAAAGCTGAAATGAAACAAAACTGAAAAAAATAAAAAATAAAAGGCTAGAATAAACCATATTTTTGCTTAGTTTAACCATAAAATCATTATAAAACTTTTGTGACAATAGTCTTAACATCCTGAAAGCCCAAAGAAAAAAATCAGCAGAAGTGTACACTTAAAAAGAATGTTGAAAGTAGCCCACATGGAAAAATCTTTGGCGAAAATTGTCTTCCCCGTTATGAAACCCCCAAAAAAATTTAACCGAGGTTTTTGCAAAACTCAAAAACAGTATAAAAACAAAAGAATCATTCATGATGAGTTAGACAAGTAAGAAAAATAGTAATTTAATTAAAGGATTTAATATTTAAAAATAAGATAACGAAACCTTTTACAATGAACAGAAATAAAAAGTACTGAAACCTTTCCTTGAATAAAGCTGAAATGAAACAAAATTGAAAAAAAAAAATAAAAAGCTAGAATAAACCATATTTTTGCTTAGTTTAAACATAATATCACTATAAAACTTTTGTGAAAATAGTCGTAATAATGCAACAAAATAGTCTTATTAAGAAAAACCAAAAGAAAAAAAAATCAGCAGGTGTACATTTAAAAAGAATGTTGAAAGTAGTGCAGCCCATATGGAACAATCTTTGGCGAAAATTGTCTTCCCCGTTTTGAAACCCCCAAAAAAATTTAACCGAGGTTTTTGTAAAACTCAAAAACAGTACACAAACAAAAGAATCATTCATGATGAGTTAGACAAGTAAGAAAAATAGTAATTTAATATTTAACAATAAGAGAACAAAACCTTTTACAATGAACAGAAATAAAAAGTACTGAAACCTTTCCTTGAATAAAACTAGAAATGAAACAAAATAGAAAAAAAATTAAAAAGCTAGAATAAACCATATTTTTTGCTTAGTTTAAACATAATATCATTATAAAACTTGTGAAAATAGTCTTAACAATGTAACAAAATAGAAAATTAGAAAAGCCCAGAGAAAAAAAATCAGCATTAGTTAAGCACTTAAAAAATTTGTTGAAAGTAGTCCATGCCCATATGGAAAAATCTTCTGTGAAAATTGTCTTCACCATTTTGAAAACAGAAAGAAAATTTAACATAGGTTTTAAGGGAAATCTCAAAAACAGTACTTATGCAAAACAATCGTTCATAATCAGAAAGACAAAGAAGAAAATTCAAATTTAAGCACAGTGTTTAAATTTTAATATTTTCCTGATTGAAGAGAATTTTTTCTTAACATAAAAAATAATCCCTTGGAATTCTATTTAATATAATAAAAATTGAAAGTATTATAAGTTCATCCATTTATGTTTGGTGGTCTAATTATACTAATTATTTCAATTAATTATTTTTTTATGTAAGGTTTTGGTTGAGATGAAAATTTATTATTATTTATTAGTATTATTTATAAGTTTAAGATAAGATGAAAATTGCTCATGATGACATCATTACTATTGGTTTGGATTTTTTAAATTAAATTAAATAATTTAAAAACAAAAGAAATTTGCTTTTGTTTATTATTAATAAGGGGAATTCATTTTTTAATTTATTAATTTTTTTTTTTTTTTTTTTTTTAGGAATGTATTTCACAAATTTTGTAAATTTTGCAAGAACAAATTAATTTGTGAGTAGACACAGGTGAAAGAAAAAATGGAATGGTTGGGGGGTAGAAAAAAAAATTTTTTTTCGACAAAAAGTCAATGATGAGGAAGTGAAAAATTTTTGCTAATCAACCACAATAACGAGGGGGAGTTGTACGAGTGCAGGAAAAAAATGTCTGCGTGCAAAAAACACATGTGTGCTCGAAAAGGCGCAAAGGCCGCTTGGACGAAGCACCGATTCGGCGACGAATCCCTGCGTCTGACAAGAAATCCCAAACGCGGAAATTTGTTTATGCCCGTGATTGTCGACGCAGACTGAAAATTGGGAAAAAAACTTTCAAGACGAGGCCAGATTTCGAGGCTGGAGATATCGTTCGGAAAAGTTTATAAACGTGCAATAAAGCAAATCTGAGACTCACCGAGGGCCTGGGTCGACCCGTTCTCAGGAGCAGAAGGTCCAAAAATTGTCAAAGCGACTGCTTCGGCCAGACGTGCACCTTTAGCACTTCAGGCCCTTATCAAGCCTGACCACGTCCCCGGCCATTTTTCCCCGCACCTCCCCCGACACGAAAGACGACGGAACTTTCATTTAAACGTGACATCCCTCGCTGCTTAAATCCTCGGAGAACATATTTATTTCAAAAATTACATTTCTTTTGTTTATTTCACGTTTAGAAACCACTCCTTGGCTATGTTCCATGGGATGACTCTCATCCTCCTAGTACTCACAGCCCATAGAAAATTCGATAAAACCCATTAAAAAATTTACCTAAATTTTTTTCAAACCTTTTCCCTACTAAAAATACAGGAAATAAATTATTTATAATTTTTTTTTAATAAAGGGGAAATTTCATAAAGGGAAAGTGTCTGGATAGAGAAAATTCTAACGAATTACAAATCGAAGAGGAGTCAGGAGACCCACTGATTCAGTTCTTGTAGCAAATCTTTTACAACATAGCACTCAAAATTCAAATAATTAAGTAATTAAAAAAATCTAGTAGACTAAAAACTTATTCATAAAATTGGTTTATTGACAATTTTTTCTTTAATTTTATTTTCTACCTAAACCTTTCAATAGCAAACTATACGATTCAACAACGCATTTTCATTTAATAATTGTTAAAAAGTAATTAAGATAAAACAAAAACATCCGATGGGTCAAGAAATAATTAATACATCGGTTTATTGGCAATTCTTTCTATAATTTAATTTTCTACCTGAAACTTTTGGACAATAAACTATACGATACGACAACCAACAACGCATTTTCATTTAATTATTCGTTAAAAAATAATGAAGAAAAAACAAAAACATCCAGTGGGACAAAAGATTATTCATACACTTGGTTTATTGGCAATTATTTCTATGATTTCATTTTCTACCTGAAACCTTTGGACGAATTATACGATTCAACGTTTTCATTTAATTATTCGTTAAAAAAGAATTAAGATTAAAGAAAAACATCCAATAGTTCAAAAAATACTCATACATTTTGTTTATTGACAATCTTTTTTCTTTAATTTTATTTTCTACCTAAAACGTTTCGATGGAAAAAAATACGATTCAACAACAAGTTTTCATCTTATTTGTAAAAAAAAATAATAATAATTAAGATAAAACAAAAACATCCAGTCCAAAAAAATATCTTACTGACAATTTTTGTCTTTAATTTTATTTTCTACCTAAACCTTTGGACGACAAACTATACGGTTCAACAACCAACAACGCATTTTCATTTATTTATTATCAAAACAACCAATGGGACAAAAGATTATTCATAACAAGATTCGAACCCACGACCTTCGGCTAGACACACACTTTTTGACACTTACTCTTTTATCTCAACCAAAACCTTAATTAATTGAAAAGAATTTATTTGGTCAAGCGGACCACGAAACCTAATAAATGTAATTATTCATACAGTTTATCGGCAATTTTTTCTTTAATTTTATTTTCTAACTAAAACCTTTGGACGAAAAACTGTACGATTCAATAACCAACAAAGCATTTTCATTTATTTATTATCAAAACAACCAATGGGACAAAAGATTATTCATACAATTAATTAATGTTTTAGTTGAAATAAAAAAGTAAGGGTCACAAGCGGGATTCGAACCCACGACCTTCGGCTAGACACACACTTTTTGACGCTTACTTCTTTATCTCAACCAAAACCTTCATTAACTGAAAAGAATTTATTTGGTCAAGTGGACCACGAAACCTAATAAATGTAATTATTCATACACTTGGTTTATTGGCAACTTTTTTCTTTAATTTTATTTTCTAACTAAAACCTTTCGACGATAAACTATACGATTCAACAACACGTTTTCATTTAATTATTTGCTATAAAATAATTAAGAAAAAACAAAAACATCCAGTGGGTAAAAATATTCATACACTTGGTTTATTGGCAATTCTTTCTTTAATTGTATTTTCTACGTCAACCTTTGGACGATAAGCTGTACGAATCAACATGTTTTCACTTAATTATTTGTTAAAAAATAATTAGGCGTTAAAATACAAAAGTTGACATTTTTGAATCCTAAAAAATTATTCATACACTTAAACCTTTATGGAAGAACAGGATTTTAAGTTAACTGTTGAGCTACATTCAAAATAAGTCCAAATATAACTGAATAATACACATTCTATCAATTGTTTAATTCAATTTAGAATCTAGGAAAGATTCTAAATTCAGGATTAGCAGAATTGTGTTTCGTTATAAAAGATAAAATTATCTCGCTTTTTCAGCAAGGTCTAAACTATCTACAAATAATGAAACAACCTAACGTTCTCATTCGTCTTTTATAGAGATAATGCAAACGATCCCGAATACCAAGGAAAATTTTTGATGAGACAAGCGGGTTGAATTGGTTTGACGACCTTCAGAAACTTTCAACTTGAGTGGCTTGGGATCTCTGAAAGGCGTTTTAAAGTTAAGGTTGATAATGCTGATTGTAATTCCTATCCAACGCTTAGAGGAGTTCCGCAAGGATCGGCCCTGGGTACAATTCTATTCTTCCTCTATAAGTGAAATAAATGAAAAAAAAAATTGCCTTGATATCACTACTTTTTCAGATGATCCCTTGACTGATTTACTGAATGATCTCTAATTAGGATCCTTAATCATCTGGAAACTTCGTCTAACCTACAAAAGTTAATTGAACTTCTTTGTACTCTCCATTATTTCAAAAATACTTGGAGATATCAGAAGACTTAAAATGGAATAAACATATTTTAGAGATCGCCAGAAAAGAAAACTTTCCTGCGTACCAAGTTTACACATTTCCATCACCTCATGAAATATTTAAAAAAATTTAGGTTACATCGTTCGACCCATACTCGAGTGTTCAAATAGTATTTGGAGCCCCTGCTTTCAAAAAGACATTAGGTCTTTGGTATAAGGTTTTTATTAGTCAATAAGTCCCTGGACCTCTGGAAAAATATTATCTTCTCAGATGAAAGTAAGTTTAATAATTTTTGATCATATGAACGTATATTCGTTTGGATTTTGGAGGAAGCGGAGCCTGGAATTAGATGTTCAAAATAAACGTCAACTGTGAAGCATGGATGAGGAGTCGGTGTATTAGTTGTCTCCGAAGATATTTTGAATGTTAAAAGGTGTATGGACATACTCTGAAATAACGAAAAAAAGTGCACAGAAGTGGTAGATTCAAAACACTTTAACAAGATGTTCCAAAAGACGACTCCAAACATATAAACAAGAAATAGCTCTGACTATTTATGGACCATGTTGAAGAGCAAAATCCGAAGATCCTTTCAGAAAATCCAACTTTTTCGTAGATTCTTCCTCTCGCACCCTAATTAAAATGTATGAATTTATAATCACTTATTTACGTAACAGGAAACATAGAAAAAGAGAGGAAAAGATCTATTAGCATATTTTTTTATAGGAGATTAAATCGGAATATAGTATTTTTTAGATTGAGACAACCTTCCATTGAGCAAATTTAAAAAAGAAGATTCTTTTGAATTAGATTTAATTTTTTTCGCAAATTGAATTGAATAAATACAAATTGATCAGTGAATTTACAAGTTTTCTTTATGAAAAGAATAATTTAACTGAAACAATATACTGAATTTATAATTTATTTATGAATATTTTCTCTTTTATTATTTGGAGATCGTGAGATGCGGTCTGGTGTGATGTGGGTTTCAGAAAAATATTTTCTTTATCGTGCTAACGTTTCGATCTTTATTGAGATCATCTTCAGGGCTCAAAGTGTTTGTTTTCTGTGTAGATGTGTCATTCTTGTGTGTCGTGTTGAGAGGGCACTCTTTTGAGCACTGAAGATGATCTCAATAAAGATCAAAACGTTGGCACGATAAAGAAAATGTTTTTCTAAAACCTACGTCACACCAGACCGTATCTCACGATCTCCGAATAATCATGAACTAACGGACACTAAACACGACACATTTTCCCTTTTGATAATTTTTAAGATAGAGGTAAATTTCAAAATCCTAACCACACTTCAAACGAAATAAATATTATTTTTAGAAAATCAGCATAAATGATTTTGTAAAAATAGGTTGTATTTCTTCTTGCATATAACGGTACACTCTTATTTTCTCTTTATCCTATTGCTAGCCTCTTTGTACTTCAGGGCCTCGTCGATTGAGGATAAAATAACGTAAATAACACAAAAGCATAATAAATAAAACGTAATAGTTTGGTTAGCATTCACCCTATCTCACAGTACTCGAAATTCCTCGCGATAATCGGGTTAAGCCCTACCACTCACGCAAATAAATACATTCTCTCTATTAAGAAAGCATATCACGTACATGAAGGAACAAAGATATATAATTAAAAATATTTATGGCCCTGATATATTAGTTTAGTTGTTATATAAAGTGAATAATAATAATTTTGAAGTGGATTGAGTAATTTAAACTTTTGTTGATAATAAGATATGTTCCAAAACAATTATTGATCTGTGAATGATTGTAAAGTTATGTTTTTATTTATTTATTTTTTTGGCCTTCTTTTAGCCAAGGTTTTGGTTGAAAAAGTTAGTGGACGAAAAGGATTCGAACCCACGACGTCCGGCCAATCCGCCCTGGTTTCGAATCCCGCTCGTCCACTAACTTTTTGAAGCCTGTGATATTAGCTTTTTCATCTCATCCAAGAATTTAGATAAAAAGAATAATTAATTAAAATTAATAATTGTTCATCCTATGGTGAAAAATATCATTATTATTATCTTAAAATATTGACGTATTCTTAGAATTGTTTCTTTTCGCAGCCAAATCACAGATTTGGATAAACTCACAGATTCACCTGCCTTTAATATTAAAGGGAAAAAATTAAATGCAACGAAAAAATAGTAAATTTAACACATTTTAAAACTATTTTTTATGTAACCAAATGAAAACGTAAAGTAACAATACACATAAAAATAAATTTAATAAATAACAGTAAACAGATTGTTTTGATAATTTATTTATAATTTTTTTAAAAGACAAAAATGTATTTTATTTCTTTGAGAGAAAAAAAAAAAATAGAAATTCAACATTATTTTCCGGAATAACGTGTTTTTTCTAGTCAAATTGTTGGAATAATATTTTTCCATATTTCCATCACTGATGGATAAACTTACATCATTTCCTGAATGATTTCGATTAATATTTCATATTTTAATTTATATAACATATAATTTTTTGAATTTTTACTCAGTTTTGATTAATTATTGAATAATTTGGACTAAAGGTATATTACAGGATTTAGTGCAGAAAATCTTCGTTGCACTGCTCGACAAAGAGAAGGAATAAACGTCAATAAGTTTCTATCAAATCAACAATTATTCAAATAGAAATTTTCAGAACAAAAGTGATTTTGTCTGTTATGTTCCTTTATAGATAAACATGCGTAGACAAATTTTGCGGACAATAGAGATAAAGTAGCAAGAAATAGTATGATAATCCTTCTTCTTAATGACTTTCTTAATGAAATTTTAGTCAATTTTGGTTTATTAATGTTGAATGATTTCATCTAACGTTACTTTACAGGTTTCGTTATACAAAAGTGAAAACCTTCGTCGTTCTGCCGGAAAAAGAGAAGGGATTGACGTCAATAAATTTCTATAAAAATCATACTGACATGAAAAAAATATCCAATTCAGTTTTTTATGCTGAAATATGTGTTTTTGTGCTATTAAATTACATTTTAAATTGAAAAAAAAAGAAAAGAAAAACGATCCATTAGAAAATAATCATGCTCTTAAGAAATGTTATGTTTATGATTTTTCATTCTCGATTTTAATCTTAGAAATCTAGAAATAGGTCATGATGCTAGATTTTATTAGAAAAAAACCATCGTAACACTGCTGAACAAGAGAACGGACAAAAAACGTGTATAAATTTCGACGAACTCAAAAAATTAAATTCTGTACCTAAACACGATTAGTTTTTTTTCTCAGAACAATGAGTTTTTGTTTTTCAAGTTCGTTTGTGAATAATAATGTGTAGACATATTTTTCAAAAAATGGAGATAAGGTTATTAAGTTATAGTACGATAATTTTTATTCATCCTTCCTTTTAATGAATTAATATTTTGATTTATATAACATGGAATTACTAAATTTTTGCTCAGTTTGGTTAATAATTCAGTTAATTGAATAATTTGGACTAACGGTATGTTACTGGTTTTATTACACAATATTGTCGCACTGTTCGACAAAGAGAAGGAATAAACGTCAATAAATCTCGATCGAAATTATTCAAACTGAAATTTTCATTTTTTGTCTATTATGTTCCTTTATAGATAAACATGGGTAGACAAATTTTTCGAACAACAGAAATAAAGTTATTAAGAAATTGTATGATAATCCTTCTTCTTAATGACGGATTAATATTTTAATTTATGCAATGGTTCTACAGTATTATGGAATTGTTTGAAATTTTAGTGAATTTTGGTCAATCTAACGTTACTTTACAGGTTTCGTTGTACAAAAGTGAAAACCTTCGTCGTTCTGCCGGAAAAAGAGAAGGGATAGACGTCAATAAATTTCTATAAAAATCATACGGACATGAAAAAAATATCCAATACAATTGTTTATGCTGAAATATGTGTTTTTGTTCTATTAAATTACATTTTAAATTGAAAAAAAAGAAAAGAAAAAAGATCAATTGGAAAATAATTATGCTCTTAATAAATTTTATGTTTTTTTTATCCTCGATTTTAATCTTATTATTTTTTATTTATTCTGCAAGAAATATATAAATAGGTCATTATTTTAGGTTTATTATAATAAATCTGACTAATATAATATCTAGATATTATTACGGGAATCTTTAGTCATAAAGCCAGGCAAAGGGAAAGGATAAACATAAAGCCACTTCTCTTAAATTAAATGTATAAAAATGAAAATAATTTGTTCAATAGTTTTATTTCTTTTTAGAAGGATTAATTCAAAATTCGTTTTCTCAAAAAGAAATATAAAACTGTGGCTATCAACAGAGCTCCTCGGTTCTGTCAGCGTTTAGAAATTGTAAAGGTACGGGGCGTATTCGCATTTGACTGGCAGCTTGTCGAACGAAGAAGGTTCGCTCCAGTTGCATTTGATCTTGGCCTTGTACCGTTCATTTTTTCGGTTGTTCTTTTTGGTTGTTTAAAAATTTTAATTTAGAAAAGTTGAATTTGAAATTTGAAAGGGCCGGCATGTCGATCACGGAGGAATGGAGGACCCCGGCTTTCAGGCAGAGCGTCGTCAACAAGCTGTAAGTTGTCAGCTATATTTCGACAGGAGCTGCCTGTCGTTTTTTTTTAAAATTCATACATTGTCATTTTTGGTCATATTCGTTCTGGCATGGTGAAAAGAAAAAAGCTTGTTAAAAACTTGTTTCCACTTTATTATGCATATTATTTTATTAATTAAAAAACGAGTCTTACGGCTAATTAAAAATTAAAACATAAACTTTTGTGTCAATCATTTGAGTGAGATTGATGAGAGAACGTATTACTCTGATGGAACGTTCCATTACAATACAGTTCAAGCCTATTGAGGTGGGTTCGAATCCCGCTCGTGATATTAACTTTTTCATCACAACCAAGATTTTAGATAAAAATATAATTAATTGAAATAATTAAATAGCTCAATTATGACCTCTAAACATACAAGGATCAATAGTTAAACTTTTAACCCCATTGGTTTTTTTTGTTAAACTTTTATGAACGTAATGTCAACATAATACATTTTTCCATTTTCACAAGAAAAAATGATTAGTAATTTTAAGATTTCTTCTTATGGTCTGCAGCGTGTTGAATCTGTAATTTGATCCATACCGATCTTTGTCTGCCTATCTTTGATTTGATGGTCTTGTCAGTTGCCACAACTTTATACTCAAAGAGATATATTAGAAAATTATGGCAAAAAACATTACATGCATATTACATATACATACATCCTCGCTGTGTTAGACATCAACAACGTAAACCACATAATGAAAGACCTAGAAACTCCTTATACAAAAACATATAATTCAAAAATTCAAAGCAGAAATTGAAAGCAACAACAGTAAACGTTTTTTAAACCTAATAATCACTAAAACTGAAAACAACCTACAATTTGACATACAAACTTGCTATCCACATTTTAACGCATCTGTGGTTGCCCCACTAGTTCTCTTGAATGTGAGTGTGTATGAGAGAAATTGGGAACAACTGGTGGTAAAACAACTGAGCTTAATTGAAGTAAAAAAAAGTTCATACATAACATTGATGATAGGCACGCGCAATACAGAAAGTGTCTGCCTAGTAGATGGAAGAAAATGCTTTGAAGACTGAAATTCGAGGTATTTTCTATTATCTGCAAGGAATATGTAGCAATTATCGAGAGTCTACTGCATACAGAAAACTAACTGCATATGACATACATGCGACTCAAACCACCCCCACCTGTAATAAATGCAACACTAAAATATATGAGAAATATATTAAAAACAGTACTGCAAAAGAGAAAAACAAAACTAGCTAAAAACAGTGAGCATGCCACCATGCAATAGCACCAGTGGCATGCCACCATGCAATAGCACACAGTGGCTAGAGTCTTAGGTATGAATCCAAAGAATGAATTGACTCTAAAGTTAGGTAAATATGCTAAAGTTTTTCATCTGAAATCATAGCGATTGAACACTGCACCAGAGAAATAAAAAGGAATATTCCTGGAAGATGGTCATCTTCTCTGACAGTCACACAGCATTGAAGGCCCTTAGATGTTGATTGTTTGGGGTGTAATGTACTGTGCTCTTTAAGAGCTATTGTATTCCCCATTCTCTGCCTAAAGCACACCGGTGAGTCCTATTTCATCAAGGAACTTGATTTGTAGGCCCGGTTTCAATGGTTGAATTGTACATCAGAAAGCACTTTCTCCTGTGGGCAAGTGTAGCACCACAGTTTGTTAATAGGTGTGTTGGTGTCTCTGCCTCTTTGCAGAATCTGCATATACCATCTTGGATTACTCTAATCTTCTTTAAATGCCCATTTAGCTTGCAGTGTCCTGTTAAGAATCTTGTTAGGATTCACAATTTTTTCCAGTTTCCTTTGACACATTCTGTAACTTCTTTCCATCCGAAATTTGTTAGGAGATTCTTGGATTGTGTCCAATGAGTGAATTCCATTGTTCCTTCATTTTCTTTTTGTCCTGTCTGAGGTACTCATTGAGAGTTCCTATGCCACAGAAGAGCTCGGTCCTATTAGCAGTATAGCAGCTCCTTTCCTTGCAAGGGTGTCTGCTTTCTTGTTGCCTTCTACTCCCATGTGACTAAAGGCCATTGCGAGGTGAACGCAAGAAGTGTTTGGAACTTGCTTGGAGGCCCTGGCCTGTTCAGTGAGACCAATGGCCTGAACATGGCATGGGTCCTTGGGTAATTGGAGGTAGTAGAGGCGATGAAAAGGTTGATATGTCGGCCAAAGAAGGAGCCAACATGTACTTCCTAGGTCCCGAACTGCACTGTGGTCTACCATATTACAACAAAATAGTTAATAAATAGCTTAGTGAGTCCAAAGTTTGGTGGAATAAACCCCAGGCAAGCAACCATATGAAGAGATTCATGGAAGGGTCATCCGCAAAACTTTTAAAGGAATTGCTGAAGGGCAACTGTAACAGAACCAGGATTCTGGTTGGACTCCTGACAGGGCATTGCCACCTAAGAAGGCATATGTACTGTAGGAGTACAGACAGAAGAAACATTGTGCAGATACTGCCAGGTAAAGAAGGAGTCAGCAAAACACATTTTATGTTTTTGTGAAGGTCTTTGTAGGTGCAGATTCTTGCAACTAAGAGTGGAAAAGCTACAAACAAGCTAGCTAAAAACTAAAGAACCACTGGCAAGGCTATGGAGGTTGATTAACAACCTGAAGCTGGTATATGCGCCCCCTGCGTACAATAATGGAATACACCACAAACATGACAATAATATAATAAACAAAATGACACAACAAAAAAGCTTTAAATGGCCACATTTATGAAAATAGAGGAAGAAACGTATAAACTAAAAATCTATTCCAAGAATTAAGAATTAAAAACAAAAATATGATAATTAAAAATTAACATTGAACAGAACAAACAGCATTGCAAAACTACTAAGGTAAAACTTTTATAAACCCAGTGTGAATACGTTGGTCTGACAGGACAAAAAACACAGATACAAGGATAAGATTGTTTAGGGACAATGACAAAAATCAAATGCGACTTACCTCAAAGAAAAGCATTATGAACTCTCTGCAGTACAGACAAGCATGAAAAAAACAAAAACAATAAGGATTACAAAAAAGGATGAAAAATAACATACTAGAAAATTTTTTATCTAAGGCCTTGGTTGAGAAGGAAAAGTTAGTGTGTTAGTGTCACAAGCGGATTCGAATCCACAACTTTTGGCTCAATATGCTGCTTTTCTAACCACTTGAGCTATCGTGACACTAATTATTTTATCTTAAAAAAAACCTTAGATAAAAAGTATAATAACTTAAAATAATTAATATGGTCAGTTATGACTACTAAATATATATGGGGTTAATATTAGAAAACTTGGAAATATACAAACACAACACATTTAACACTACAAAACTTTTTTTTGGCGGAGGTATTTCTATCAGCCATGTTTACACTACAAAACTCGTAAACACACATATTCACTTAAATCTTTTACATCATTCGAAACATTGCCATTTAAAAAAGAAAAGGACTGATGACCGCAAAAATTGATCAGCACAAAAAAAAAAAAAAAAAAAAAAAAAAAAAAAAAAAAAAAAAGTCACCAAACAAAGAAAATGACTTTTTAATTTGTTGTCTCTTTATTAATTATTATTTACAATTTTTATGCAGAGACTGTTGAGAAGAAAATTTAGTGTCAACAGCCGAAAGTCATGGGTTCAAATCCCACTCATGACGCTGATTTTTCTTCTCAACCATTTTTGCATAAAAATTGGAAAGAAAACGATGCACACACACACACATTCCAAAAGTGTCTTAACAGAATCACAGGCTCACTGAAGATTATGAAATGCTGAAACCTGTCTGACAGACCAACCCAGCGAGGATACTTAGAAGAAGATGATCAATAGGGACCAAATTACATTTCTGACATTGATAATTGTTTTAAATTTAAAGTCAGATTAATCTCTCTCAACATTCAAAGAGCCAATGCGAAAGAATTTGTATTAAGTATGTAATTATTTAGAGGGTATATAGTCGATTGTATATTACAATAAGTAGACCTCATGCTATGCTGTCCTTGAAAGACAACCCAAAACCTTTTTTTTTTTTTTTTTTTTAAATCAATTGTTAAAACTGCAAAAGCTGGCTTGTCTCATCAACTCAGGGTGATCTTTAGACTAGAAGTGCTACTTCTTAGACACACACCTGCGTTACAGCTCCAAAATTTTGGATAAAGCAAAATATACAAATAGCCAAGAAGATTTTATATAGCAAAACATATTGTAAATGTGAAAATAGTTATGATATAGTGTATTAGCCCTGGGTAGCTGAAAAACTTGCAAAATGACAAAAAAAAAAAAAAAAAAAAATCAGGCGCACACAGTCTGCTCATGTGTTAACTAAAGGGCGGATAAATACCATATAAACTATTATATTGCATTGCAAATAGAAAGGCAGAATTATATCTCTTTTTTCAGGAGCAAGGCACCTATAAAAATTATGAGGCCTCTTCATTATGTGAAAATATTCACTTGTGTAACTTTGTAGACAGTTTATGTTTTGCCCATAAAAGAATGTCTGTAAATAATCTTACGATGTTCCAAACGTTGAAATTTTATCATTTATTTTTGCAAGTTTTTGCACATTTTATCATCCCTGGCCATCCTTGTTTGCTGTATGCTGTAGTCTGACTGCGATCGTACACACGGTGGCTGATCAAATTATCAATAATTACAAAAAATATAAATAGAGAAATTCCTAAAAATCGTAAAAGTTTTGGTTTTGTTCACAGTGATGAGGCTATTCAGAGATCTGGGATGACCACTTCCAAATCTGGCATCGAGATGGAAAGCCATGTATTTCAAAAATCAAAAACAAAGGTATTAATTGTACGTTTGTTTAATGAAACATTTTTTAAAACGAGAATTTTCCAGGAGGAGTATCTCGGGCTGGTCGCCAGGCTTATATTTCACGTCAGGGAAGTGAGTAAGTTCGTTTTAAATATTTTTTCCCTCTTCATGCTAATATGAATGATGGGGTGTTGTTAACAAATGTTAATTGTGTCACTCAATTTTAATCTCATTTATAGAATAACTAAACCCTTCACTACTAACTGAATTGTCACATTAGAGTTATGTGTATATGTAACTTTTTTTTCATCCTTGGTTATGGTTTGTCGATGTAGATTAACATTTGAGTTTTTCACTTCACATTTAGCATGATAAAAGTGAAATGGCAGATTAAGACGACTACTTCAACAACCGTGACAAAAAAATAAAATTCACCTTATCAAAAATTTATTAGGTTTCAATACAGGAAAATGCCTCCATTTCTAGAACAATGAGCAACATGGTTAACATAAAACATCAGTAGGTGATTTGTTGCTGGTGTTGAATTTAAATATCTCAGTTTTTTATTTTATGGAGTTACGGAGCAGCCAAGAAAATAATGAAGCGATTTACAGTAGATACAGCATTATTTTTACATATTTTAGGAAATAATACATTTTAAATAGAATAATATGCTGTTTCTATTGTAAAATTGTCTCATTATTTTTTTAAAATTTACATTTTTGGCTGGAAAAACAACATAAAACAATAATCCTGAGATATTAGAAAACATGTTACATTTCAGTTTGGTCTGTATGTCAAATGTTCTTTGATTCAACAGGTAGATCAAACATTTTTACCTGATAAAGTTGGTGTATATTCAGGGGAATTGGCCTACTGCGCTCTTTGAGAGCAACATTGTCATCCCAAAGAATTTCCTCCAGCGGATAAGTGTATCATCACAATCTATTAATAAGAGTATTAGAATTTCTTATTCCTCTTTTCAGAATCTGTACATACTGTGTTGTTTGATGCCATCTTCTTTTTCTCGTTAATTGTAAGAGAGGCTGTTTTCAATGTAACTATGCGAGATTTTTAAAACAAAACAGTGTTCATTCTTTCTCATGTCTATTAAGAATCATGTTGGGATTCAGAATCTAAACTTTTTTTTCCAAATCTCGGCTGGAGGTTTTCGATTGTATGCACTCAGTGGGTTGATTGGTTCCTCATTTTCACCATGTCTTCTTTTCTAAAATGTTAAGAGTAAGTCCTCTCTTTAAAAAAAAAAAAAAAAAAAAAAAAAAAAAAAAAAAAAAAAAAAAAAAAAACCCACTCACCATAGGACCAGAATCATGACTAAGTACTCCATGGAGTGTACTTAAGTTCGAACTGGAAAAATAGATTGAGAAAGAAATACTGGGCAAACACTAGGTATGAGGCAAGCTAAGAGATTTATAAAAATCTCAAAATGGAAGATGAACAAACTCCGCTCCCTTTCAGCAAGCAGGATTTGAGGAGAATTGTAGGCCAGTATACTGGTCACTGTCCTCTTAACTATCGCCTTAAGAAGAGGGGTAAGGCTGAGTTAGAAACCTGCCGGCTCTGTTAGGAGGAACTAGAAACATCAACTCATATCCTTTGCGAATGTAAAGCATTAAGAGGCACAAAAAGCCATCAAGGAAAGAAAGTCTTCAATTTGATAAGGAATAGCGTACTTTCCAAGGAACGGCTATAAACTGTAGGTGTGCCACAATAGACCTGTTTTGGTCGCAGTGGAGGAAAGAATTGTATTCTGCATCAATCTCCCTAAAATGATGAATATACAAACAATGAATCAAATGAATACTCAAACATTAAATTGTAAATCTTGGCTTTGTGTTTTGTCCTAGATATTTGGCTTCATTTTTTAACTCACTCTGTTATTGTGTTGATCTGTTAAGACTTTTAAACATCAAGAGTGCATATATAATAATATAAATACATATACATATATATATATTATATGATTAATATGATATATAATAAATGATATAATTCAAATAATCAAAGAGATTCCCTTTTTACAAATGAGTTTTTATTGCTTGCATTTTCACTATTCACATTAACAGTTTTTCATTAGTATTATTAATTTTACATTGTTTAAAAAATTATGTTTGTAAAAAATTTTCTTCACCTCACTTAAAATAATTTCATCAGTGAACAAAGAAATAAAATGTTGGGAGTTTAATTGAACAATATGTTGTCGGAACACAAATCTGGCAGTTATAAAATTATGGTTGATTGGGAAATAATGTTTGTTAAAGTATTTTTAGACTCTGATCCATAATTAAAGGAAGGAAAAGTACACATCCCTTAAAACATTGGATAAAAAATAAATGTTCAAAGATGACATTTCTGTCAAGAATGGCAACAATTTGCTCAGAGTGTAGTAAATTTGAATAATAATTTCTTCATCGAGAAACATTTTTTTTTCTTCTTGACCAAGGATATTGGGACGGGTGGTAACGGAGAGGATAAGTTGAAAGATTAGAGTGAAACATGAGAGGCTTGAACTGATCAATTCTTTAATGAAGGGCCATTGTGGTTGTTGTGAGGTTAGAGATGTAGTAAGTAGCTTGGAGAAGCTTGTTAGGACATTTGATTGGAATGTTTGGATATTCAATGGCTTGGTGGTACCCCACAGATTGATAATTAAAGAAAGGAAAAGTACACAGCCCTTAAAAGAAAAAAAATTGTGGATAAAAAACAAATGTTCAAAGATGAAATTTCTGTCAAGAGCGGCAACATTTGCTCATAGTAGTTGGACAGACCACATACATTGTAAAAATAATTTCATCATAAAGATAAACTTTTTTTTACCCTTCTTGACCAAGCCAATGATTAGTGGACCAAGCGATGAAATTCGCCAGCCATGCTCGATTTTTCTAAAAAACGTTATATCTGAAACTTGATCTCTAGGTTTGCAATTTATTTGTACACATTTGTTTGATCATGTTTAAATAAAATCCGTGTAACTGATGTAGTATTTTATGGTATTAAATGAACGGATGTGGTATTAAATGAACACCTCAATTATTTCATGAGATACCCATTTGTCTTGATAATTTCTTGCCAACTTATTTAACTACTTTATCACGTCCTTGAAATTGTTATGTCTTTTGAAAGAGTGTTTACATATCAATTCTTAATTATTTTATAGGAATCCATTTTTTGATAGTTTACCAGCTTTCATTAATTCATTAACATGTTTTATTTATTGCATATTTCTTTTTTTCTGCTTGCTCTATTTCCTTGAAAGCTGCATTTAATTTCTGTTTAACTAAGAAATAAAAGTAAAGAAAGTAAAAAAATAAAGAATGCTTGAATTAAGCCTGTATTAAAAAGATTTTTTTATTTTTACCTTTGCCCTGTATATGAAATTGTTATGTCCTTTGAAAAAGCGTTTCCAGATCAATTAGTAATTTCCACTATTTCCTAGAAAGCTGCATTTAATCTCAGTTTAACTAAACGTTCGAATTGAACTTTCATAAAACCAACGGCCTAGCAAATAATGCTCCTTGAATCAAATGTGTTCTGAAAAGATTTTTTATTTTTACCTTTATCCTGTATATAAATATATTTATTGGAAATTGTTCTTTGATAATTTTCTTCTTTTTTTTTTGTGCCCAGCCATAGCACTGACACTACAGCCTTCATCTGAAGAATACACGTTGTAAGAAGCGTTATCGAATTAAAGGCAAAGAAGTCTCAGGGCCATTGTTATTTGAGGCAATATGGAAGGTTCTTAGGATGGGTGGTAATGTAGATAATAGGTTGAATGATTAGAGTCAAACTTAAGTGGCTTGATCTGATCAATTCTTTAATGAAGGAAATTGTGAGGTCATTGTGATTTTGAGGTTAGAGACGTAAGCAGCTTGGAGAATGCTTCTCAGGACTCTTGATGGAATGCTTGGATTATTTGGATATTTGATGGTTTGGTGGTACCCCACAGGTCCTGTCGAAATAGGTCAAAGCAGTGTTTAATACAGTGTTGATTTTTTAGTTGTTATTTCAGTCCTAGAAGACTTTTGTAGTGGTCCATATTGTCAGTTTAGTTCTTGCTGCTTGAGTCTAGTCTTATGTGGGGATTCCTTGGCAGTCTACTGCCTAAGGGGGGGGGCTGGAAAATAATATTATTTCTGACCATGTCAATATCCATGTGTCATTATTTATCAGCTCATTGTGTACTTCAAAGTTGTGCCAAAGACATTTTTAGGTTAGAATCACTTGTTTACTCATTATTCCGATCTTTGCGTGGATCCCCACGAAGCAACACCTCTTACTCACAAATGTAAAACGAAAAAAAAAAAATATCTGTGCCACAAGCCACAAATTCAAACAAATTAATTGCAAAAAAAAAAAAACGGTGACCTGACACAAATAAATTTCAACAGACCTAAAAATAAATGTGTTAAGATTAAGAAAATAAAATAAAAATAAGTGGTCTGTGACATATACAACTCCTTGCATTTACAAAAATAAAAAAATAAAAGCAGGTGCAAATAGAGGTCCTTCATCGTCCTTCTTTTCTCACCTCGCACTCCGAGCTTATGGTAGAGAATGAGCTTATCCTAACCCAAAGGATAATCCTTGTTGTTGAAAATATTGTTATATCAGAAATAATTAAATCGTAATTTTTTTGCAATTTATGGTGAAATGGCCAGCCAAATACCAGAAAAGGAAGATATCCGGTGTATGCGTTTTGAGTTTCATAAGGATAATAACACAATAGTTGTTACCAAAAACAATTTCGATGTTTATCCAAGTGTAAGTTGTAAATGCCAAAGATGGTTTCTAAGTTCAAATTCGGTAATTTAGGTCTTTCCCACTCGTACCGATTAGGAAGACCATGACTTTAGACACTGACAGGAAGTGGAAGCAAATCAGTGTCAGACAATTGAGAACTGTTTTTTAACTGTACATGTAGGAAGTTGGTTTAATGAAAACACATTTTGGGTGCATATGTCTGTTCAGTTTCATATTGCACATTTTGTACCATTCTTCGATGAGCTCAAGTTGCTCCTGGTTATTGGAAGTGGCTTGGGTAATATTTGAGTTAGGTGATTGCGGTTTTGTAAGGATGGTGTTTGAATGTATTGGCATGTCAGTAGTATAAATAGTAAATAAGGTGGGACTAAGAATGCTCCCTTGTGAGACACCAGCTTGATCAGTGTTATTTTAGAGAACACACTGGAACACCTTATCAACCTTGAAGCATCGTGATACGACGAGGAGTGGTTTTCTTTAGATCTAGAGGGGTATTAGACATTTTACACAGAGTCTTTCTAGGATTTAATTGCGAGAAGGCTGATATGTCTGTATCAGGTCTGTAGGATATGTTGCTGGGAGATTTGTGGGGTTTAGGTATGAGAGTGACCATGAAATAATTCTATAGTGGAGGATAGTGAAATTAGATGCCTTGCCCATGTGTGTACTCAATGATTATCTGAAAAACAGGAAAGTAAAAAATAATGCATTAAGTACACTCTGCCTCTGGTAAAATTGAAAAATTGATGTAAAATGGGTTGAGAAGAGGTGTTGGACTTGTCCGAGTCGTTACTGACTCAAGGCCCATTAGGTAATTGGATAGGGGCATTGAAAGCAAATTACAAATCAGAATCAGATGATGTAGTACAAATAGCAATACAATAGAGATCTTTGCTATTCTGACTACTGATTTGTAAAAGGTCAAATCTATAAATGTGTACAGAGTTGTGCCAATCATTTCTCACGGTCCACTGGCAATTCCAGCCTTTGTAATTTAGAATAAATTAGCAGAAGGCTAGAGAATCACCCACCCCGGGTTTGGCAGATCTTGGTCTTAATTGTCCAGCATTAAGGTTAGGCACCGGGGACTATTAACGGCTAGATCATTTCAGTCCCCAACACAATCTTTCTTATTTACATACCATTTTCTCAGTTAGGGTATGGAGTACTCAATATTCCGCCATTGTCTTCTCACACTACACATTCACTCTCAACACACATTAGGGACATAAAACTGTTAGTATATACAATAAAAAAAACCCCCCTGTTAACTCCAAAATCAGAACAGGGGACCCAAATACTCCAGTGGGCAACTAATCATCCTTGTGTCAACCTCACATGGCCTATCCTTAATCGGGTGAGGATGACCCCTTTTTTGCAAGTCGGTCCTCCGAAGGCCACTTATTGACAGTGCATTAATTTTTAAGATATATCTTCAATTTTTGACTTTTATGACAGTTTTTTGCTAATATATCAGCATCACATGTACCAAATGATTTTTTCCTTGCAATTTTTTCCCTTTTCTGTATTGGAAATAACTCACCATTTTTAATTAAAAAACAGGAATGAATTTTTATCTTTCAAATTTTTTTACCAATGAACACAATATAAAGCTTAATAATAATGTGTGAAAAGAAATTTGTAAAACAGTAAACATTGGACATTATTTTCTGATCAACCTCCTGATTCATTTTTATAAATAAAACCCTTGTGTTATATGACCTTGGTAAATGAACAAATAGTTTTCCATTTCACCCTTCCACATTTTTACAATCAATGATTATGAGAATGAATTGCAGCTCTGCCAACTTTACCGGTTACAATTGCCTTTAAAATTGAAGGCTTAAAAAGAATTTATTTTCTTCTCAAACAATTTCACATTAAGTACTAATAAACCGTTATGAATGCAGCCTCGAAGAAAACCGGCCTCATGAACAATAATGGTGGCCCTAACATGCAGGATCCAATCAATGCTCTACAAAATTTAGCACGACAAGGTAAACAAAAAAATATATATGTGTACGTTTTTGTATTTTAAACCTTTCCTTTTGAAATATTTTGTTTTAATAGATTTTTTAAAATTTTGATGTATATTATATTTTATTTTATCATTTTGTCACTTAAATAGGTCTGAATGAATAAAACAGAAAACCCATCTGCATGGTTGTAGTAAATATTTATCAATAGTTTGACTTAAGTAATTAGAAATAAATTGTATTTATTCTTATCAGGTAGTTAATTGTTTCATATATATATATTTGCAAATTAGATTAACAGGAAGATTTGTGGTTTTTAGTGGATTGTGCATGCTTAATGTTTTATTGATTAATATTATAAACTAATATATTATATAACTTGGTTGTTTTATNTGGGAAATTATTTTGATTAAAGAACATTGCTTTAAAGTAACTAGTTTCTTTTTTTTTGTTTAATACCAAAATCCTGCATTATTTTCCGGACAACCCAATATTCTCTCATAAATGCTAGGCCTAGTACGCACTGGGATTCTTTGAGTCTGGGCTGTGTCTAGCCTGAGTCCGGGCTGCCACGACTCATTGTTGCGATGAATCTAGTGTGTTGCGGGCTGGCACACTTCGGACTCTTTTGAATCCCATCCGATGTGGGATTCTTTGACTCAATGGTGTGCAACATTTGCCAGTGCGGACGTGAATCGGAACAAGTACTCTTGTTTCATTTGTTTAGTTGGCGTGCTAGTGAGTGTTTTCTTGAAGATTTTGATACTTCTTGTATAAAGGTATGTCGTGGAGTACCGAGTTGACATTACAGTTTATCAAAGACATGCATTCCTATCGGTGTTTGTGGGATGTATCATCCTGAGAAATTCTTGAGAGAGCTAGTTCCTCCGTCATTTTCACAGGCACTGATGAACGTGAACTGTATCTTGGTCAGGACATGGTTCTTTGTCACGGAGCGGAGTCGGGGCTGCATCGCAACAATGAATCTTCGCAGCCCCGACTCTGTCCCGCAACATGAATCGATTCAAAGAATCTCAGTGCGTACTAGAATTTAGACTCTTCAAAAGATAGGAAGAATAAATCATACCCTGAGCTGAGTTGAACTGGCTCGAGGCTGTATGTTGGTCTAGGATGAAAAAAGTCCAGCCAAGTGATTTTTCAGTTCTGGTCTTTCGGTGACGTGCTGTATATTTTCGGTATCACCAAAGTTGTGTCTTTCTCAGCCAGTCGAACTCGACTTCTGTCAGAAACAAAATCAAACTCAAAATTGCTCAATTTCGTTACTCATTTCACTTATTTTGAAATGTCAATTTTCGAGTCATTTGATGGACTTAAATACCAAATTATGTATATGTTGACTTATGCAACTTGTGTATTTTAAAATATAAAATTATAATCTATAATGACATATTTATTTATTTTATTACTTTCTATTTCTCAATATTAGCCAGAGAGCAATCAAATGTACATTTGTGTTATATTTTTTGGCAAGGGGAGTTTAAAAAAAAATGTCATGGGCTTTAGTGGGAATTAAACCACAATCCTGGCCATGGGCCGAAAGTCTACCATGCAGGTCACTCGGCAACTGCGGTCCCCGTAGTAAAACTTAATTTTTGGGAAATAAGTACCTAAATAAAAATGTTTTGAATAATTGATAATTGTAAAGAAAGAAAGATTTTGTTTAAAAAACAAAAGACCAAAAATAAATACATAATTAAACAATGTATCTAATATGTTTAGTAATAGTAAATTATTGTATATTATTTGCTAGGATCTGGTAATCAAAATATGGGGCAAGGTTTACCACCACCGGTGCCTCAACAAAACAATCCAAACAGTAAGTATTTAATTAATTAATATCCAGCTGAATATTATTTAATTTTTTTTTTTATTTCAACAGTGATGCAGGGGATGAATTCAAGACCTGTTCTTCAGCAAAAGCTTCAGCCTTCTGTACAAGGTGGTGTGATGATGACTGGCCTTGGCGGTGCAATGGGCCCTGGGGCAGGCGGAAGTCCTCTTTCTGCAGGTATAGGCCTACAGACAATGCAAGGCCGTAGGCCCGATGTCAACATGGGCGTCCCTGCTGGCGGCTTTGTCGGACCCAGGGGTGTAAACGCCAGCCCGTATCTCAGGCAGAGCCCGACACCTCCGATCACATCTCCCGTACAGCAGAACGTCACTATGCAGCCAGGGTGAGCTGATTAAACTAGTTAATATTATATGAGGTTTTGATTTAACATTTTTTTTTTTAGACAAATGGGTGTCCCTTCCCCTGCGCTCGTACCGTCTCCGAGTAACCCACAGCTTGTCGGCGGTACGGCAATGCAGGCTACGATGCAGAGGCCGTTAAGCATGGCCTCCTCGCCTAGCTCAGCTTGTCTCAACACTCCTGGACAGCCGAATGCAAGCCCCTGCAGTTTACAGGAAGATGCTGCTTATAGAGAAAAAATCAGACAACTTAGTAAATATGTTGAACCCCTTAGACGAATGATATCAAGATTTGGTAGTGATTGCCCATCCAGTGAGTATCTCTTTCCACTTATAAATCTTCGAATTGTCAATTATTATTATTATTATTTTTTCTTTGTAGATATTGAAAAGTTAAGTAAAATGAAAACTTTACTGGAATTATTGGCTAATCCAAACAAAAGAGTTCCTTTGGAAACGCTTTTGAAATGTGAAGTAGTTTTGGAGAAAGTCGACGGGAAAAGGGTATGACAATATTTTAATTATCCTATAATAATAATGTAACACATCTTTTAATATTATAAAATATTAACAGATACAAACTACATGGTCTAAGACACTCAATTATGTTCTAAACAAAATAAAAAAATAAAGTAACTAAGAGTTGAATTCTTCAATTAAAATTCTTCTGTACTTAATTTACAGTACTTATTTTAAGCTTATTATTTTAACTTATTTTAACATACTAAATTTTCCAGTTTGTACCATTTAAATAAACTTACAAATTCATACCACACAAATTGTTCTGTTTTGACCACCTTTTGTGATAGCTCGTTAAGATTAGGACATACAGGGCAGGTCTAATAATCGAATTCGTTAATAATAAAGGTTTGCCCTTAACCTTCATAATAAAATACCTCATATTTTGATTATTCATGTTTGAGCTGTTGTTTCTGCCAAATTGAAAAATTAACATTTGATAAATAACATGGAATTTGGCTGCACTTATTAATAGTATTATACAAGTTCTTTTTAGGTGGTCTGGTGGAATTTCTCTCTCTTGAACAAATATTGTTATTTAAAAAAAATATATTTTTTGGTTAGTTAAAAATTTATACTTAAAAAAAAAATTAAATGGTTCTTCAGGACCAGAATAACTTTAAAATTTCAAATATGACTCTATACTAGTTCTTTTTTGTTTTTGTTTATTTCCATGATTTGGAAAAAAAATCGTTTTTATTTGTGGTAAAAACAACTATTTGATTACCTTCCACATCATCAAATACTTCAGTGTTCTAACTTTTGACACACCATTTTAAATGATTTTTTATGATGAAATAAATGCTTCAATGCAATTTTAAATTGATCAAAAAATATCACTTTTTGTTTAATTTTTCACAAAGATAACAATTGTATTTTGTTTAGTTTAAAGATAAGATTATTGAAAGTAACGTCTAATTTACAAATTATAATAATCAACAAATCCCATAAACTGGCTACCAACATGCATTTCATGTTCGAACTTAAAAGTTAATGAAAGTAATATTATTAAATCCATTACAGTTTGTTTGACTCAACAATGGATTATTTTGACCAGTGTTGAATTTTTGTAATGTATTTGCATACTTTTTAGGGTGTTGAACCTGTAAGAGAACGAGAACAGCATCCTTTGCTCGAAGCACTTAAGAACCACTTACAGAGCCCTTTTATCAATCATTCGCTTCAAAGAACATTTGGGCCAACTATAGAAGCACTTTTTGGCTCAGACATAAGGTAGTTTTATGAAACTTATTTAGCTGTTTAAGAAAAAATGTCATGTATAAGTGATATCTTTTAGAAATGTACCACCGTCTCTAAAAAGGAGGAAAATTGAGGAACCGAACGATGATATTCCAGAGGTTTTGCAAGGAGAGATAGCAAGACTAGATCAGCGTTTTAAAGTAAGTTTAGATCCGACTGGAGGAACGGGTGGAAGTATTCAGCTGATTTGCTGGCTGGATGACAAGCATTTACCTTGTGTGCCACCGATCGCCTTGTCAGTCCCTGAAGATTATCCGAGCAGCCCGCCAGAGTGTCATCTCGCTGAGCATGAACACTCGGCTACTCCTTTTCTCGAATCAGTTAAAACCGCTTTATCATCGCGCGTTTCCAAGCTCTCGTCAAAATTCACAGTATCCCAGCTTCTCGACGCCTGGGAGATGAGCGTGAGACAAGCTTGCGCACCTTCAGTCCCCGCCCCGGCGCCGAGCTCGTCCACTGCCCTGTTGGTGAACTCATGACGGGAAATTGTAGACCCTCCCCCTCCACTCTTGATCAATCAGCAGGCTGACACGATACCAAGGCCAACGGAACAATCAGAAAGTGCTCCGCGGCTAGAAGCAGTGCACGACTATACAATATGAATCTTCCTTTATTTATAAATAGTTGAAATTTATTTTTATATGCTTTCTACTACAATTTGTATATGAATTGACAATTTCATACTAGTTGGAACATACTGGAAAAAAGAAATGTTTATTATATTTATTAAAATAGATCCTGTGAATTTATGTAAACCTTTTGACTAGTTTACCATTGTGTGTGTTGCTATATTAAATTTATTTACTTCTATCAACCTAGCTAACTGATTTGCCAATGAAATGTTTCAACATTCTCTTAAATGAAGAAATAAATAACACATTTTAACAATCAACTAATTTGTTTATTATTCCTTGTATATCTGAGTAATTCAAATAATAAATACAATTGAAACTGTACCAAAGGTCTAAGCTTTAAAATAGGAATCCCGAAATCTTTTTTGTATTTTGCAATTTTGCCCCGGGGTGCAGAAATTTGAGGTAAAATTAATTAAGTGAGTGTTCTTAGATACTACAGATTCTGTTAGTATTACTGCAATACTACTGTTTGCAAACAATATTTTCTTTTAAAAAAAATATTTAAAAAAAAAATAAATAAATAAATAAAAATAATAAAAAAATAAAAAATAAAAAAAAAATGAAAAAATTGAATAAATTAAATTAAAAAAAAGATTCTAAAATTCCATGGTTATAAAATCACTTATTTTTATTGAAAAGTTGGTCAATATAATGAGCAATGGGGCGGGTGTTGGTGGCCGCAACTGTTTAGGCATTGACACGGCGCTCATCACTGTAAGGTAAAGGTCCCGGGTTCAAATGAGGGTTGATATATTTGCGGAAAAAACAAAAACCGATACTTTGAGTTTAAGATAAAAAAAAGAATAATAATGATATAATAATAAGGAGTGGGCCCAAACGAAACAGATACTTTCAGGATTTATAGGAAAATTCATGTTTCATAAAAAGTATAAGAAAAAAAAAAAATGATATAATAATGAGTGGGCCCAAACGAAACAGATACTTTGAGAATTTATAGGAAAATCCGTTTCATAAAAAGTATAAGATAAAAAAAAATAATAATAATGATATAATAATAAGGAGTGGGCCCAAAAAAACAGATACTTTGAGGATTTATAGGAGAATTCATGTTTCATAAAAAGTGTAAGATAAAAAAAAATATAATGATATAATAATAAGGAGTGGGCCCAAACAAAACAGATACTTTGAGGATTTATAGGAAAATTCATGTTTCATAAAAAGTGGAAGATAAAAAAAAGAATAATAATGATGTGATAATAAGGAGTGGGCCTAAACGAAACAGATACTTTGAGGATTTATAGGAAAATTCTTGTTTCATAAAAAGTATAAGACCAAAAAAAAAACAAAAAAAAACATTAAAATAAAATATAATGAGCAATCTACTTTTACCTATCTTTTCAGCGTAGACATGTTATCTGTTAGAAAAGGTTAAGTCATGCCCTTTTTCATCCAATCTTTGGATACTGTGAATATTTTTGGATTATTTCTACCAGTTTACTCAAAACACCAGTTTTATATATAATTTATTTAAAAAATTGCAGTTGGCGAATGAAACATGTCTCAAAAATTAAATATATTGATCTAATATGTATATTTGACTCAACAATGGATTATTTTGACAAGATTTTATCTCAATCAATGCCTTTCATAAATGTTAATTAATTGAAAAAAGACGGACCATGAACTGTAGTGGATTTAATAATTAAAGTGAAGTATATCTTCACGAAAGCTCTCCGTGGCCATTTCATTTGTCGCCGAGAATCAAATAGATTACACGACATTTGAAAAATGGCAAAAAGGAGGGAAAATTCGAGAGGTGAGGTTGAGATGGGAAATTGGTGTCCGAGCGGATCGAAGTCATGGCAGCTCAAGAGGTACAGCAGCAGCGTATTTAGCTGAAGGTCGTGGGTTCGAATACCGTTTGTGACACTGACTTTTTTATTTCAGCCAATGCCTTTCATAAATATTCATTAATTGAAAAAAGTTAATTGGTCAATCGGACCACGAACTGTAATGGATTTTGACAAAAGTTGAATTTTTGTAATATATTTGCATATTTTTTAGGGCGTTGAAAATTGTTCTACAATTTAACGGTTATAAAATCACTTATTTTTATAGAAAATTTGGTCAATATAATGTATACCTGGGGGCCTACTCAGGCTTTTAACCCCTCGGGTCCTGGTCGCCCGCCCTGTGTAATATATATATACCCATCTTTTCAGCACAGACGGTAGTAATCAGATAGTAGTTGGTCCAGCATCGAGGTTATAAGCAGGGAGAGGCATGACAACATTCATTTCTCCCAAGTCTGTGAATTTTTTGAATGAATGAATATTTTAGATGAAGAACTTTATTAATTCATTAAACAACATAAATTGATCACAAAATGTTGGTTTTTGTTACTAGATTTTTTTTTAGTAGACAGTATTATTTTTGATTTAAATAAAAATATTTTATTTATAGTTAAATTTTAAATCTGCATTTGACCGTATGTATAAATAAATGGTAATCAGGAGGCACTATCCAGTACATCCAACTGTTACAAAACTGACGAAATATGGAAGCCGTGTCTCATTTGTATTCATCATGCGGGTTGTTTCTTCCTAGATTTACAGGAACAATTTGATGAAATGTTCCTTGTTTCATTCACGGTGAGCGGTTCAAAATCTCTCAAATGCACATTGATTGAAGTGGTTAATGGAAGTTGATATAGCTTATGGCATGATCATGGTTAAATTGTATTTGTGCAATTGATGTGACAACGTACAATCTTTTAAATATTTTAAAAATTATGTTAATGTGGTAAAGAGTCAAAGGATGATAAAATTATCCAATTGCAAATAGTATTACTCAAGGACATTCAGAAACATACAATTCTGAACAAAATCTGATTAACAACTCAATAAATAAAAAATACCTTAATGAGGCTTTGAGAGTAAAAAGCTGAGAGTAGAAATATTTCAAGAAGTCGGGAGAAAAAATATGAACCAAGAGGAAAATGTGAAAAAATGGAATATTCCTGGAATTTTATCAATATAAAATTAATTTAGTAAAAGTTCTATATTGAATTTGGCGAGAAGATGAAAAGAAAGCAATTATACCTTGTTATGTGAAATATGTTAAAGGGGCAAGGTATGAGAAGAATTAATAAGAATGATGATGTAAATTTTTTAAGAAGTTTTTCAAAAATACACCATCTGAACCTAGAATTTTTGGATTAGGTACATGTACTGAGTTCATGACAATTTAATGAAGTTCAAAATTGAAGAGAGGAGCAGGTAAGAAAAATAAATACCAATTTGAGGGGGCATTTATATAAAAAAACTATGTATAAAAAATGGTATTTATTAGAGAAAAAGTTGTACATGTAAACACAAAGAAAAATATACATGTAATAATGTGATAGTGATGAAGTTGAAGAAAGAAGTGCAAAGTTCCTATAAATAGTACACTAAATTGTCCATCTTATAATTAGCAATTCAAAATTAATTATTAAAGTAATTCTGAATAAAATGATTAGAAACACAATTCTACGTGGCAAAAATAAACTTTTTCTAGTCAGAAAGAAGGAATTAAAGTACAATAAAATTATATTAATAATCAAAAATTTAAAGAAACAACAAGCTTGCAAATGAAAATATTTATATTATTTATAATGTATTACTATGTAGTTCTATGTGATCCACAATTTACTTAAAATTCTGGAAAACAATCATGGAATTTCACAGATAGTTCTTCATTTTGATGAAATTGCTTGAAAAACTTTGGAAGTTTTTACTTCAAGTTTTAAAAATAAAAATTAATATTTCTTAAATAATTCTGAGTCATTTATTAGTGATGTATACTGTTGGTGGAGTTGAAATTGAAATTAAAAATGAGAAGAGTCGAGAAAAAAACTGAAAAGACAAAAAAACAATTTTTTTCAAGCAATTTGCCTAAATTCGGATAAAATCTACAAGTTTGTTATTGTACTTTGTTAAAGAATTGTCAACGACCCCCAAATGTGTAAATGTTGCTTCATGCCATTTTCAGGGAGAAAATGTCATCAAAATTAGTAAATTTAACCATTTTCTAAGTGAAATTTTTTCGTTTTGTTTTCTTCAGCATTTGGTCTGTCATAAATATACCAAAGTTATATAAATCTATCAGTAGAAATGATAAAGGTGGGGTTAGTTGGTGGTTCAACTACAACTAGAGCTATAATTTTTATGTGTATGTATTTCAGTACATATTTTAAGTTTTTATGTATGTATTTTTTACGTTATGCATTTCTATATTTAAATTTTTTTTCATCATATATGACATTTATTTAATCATGCTGTAGAACAGGGTGCGGCATTGTTAAAAATTATTATTTCAAAGCTGGGATTGTGTGAAAGTTGAGAATATTTTTAATCTTCCATTGTATTGCAATAAAAAAATTTTCGTCGGTCGGAGTTTAACTCTGTAAAAATTAACGATTTCATACTTGTTATTAAATTGTCTGCCGGGGTGAGGGGGTCGAAGTTCAACGGCGGTGTCTGTTAGGGACGATAACAAGCTTTTGCGGTGGTGTGAGTCGGCGACTGGATCAACCCCCGAAGGTGGACGGGGTCGGGGCCATCTAATGAACCTAGAGACAGTCGGCGGATTGATTCACCCCCCCGGGGATACCGACAATCCCGCAAACACCCCCCCCCCGTCCACAAAAGATCCCCGATCTCTCCGAATGGCGATAACGATCGAAGGAGCCAGAGGGTCGGAGAAGAACTTTCATCCCTTGACCCAAGACAAAAAAGACAAAGTTGATCTCTCAACATCAAAGTGATTTTGAACAGGCATTTATTAATTTCCCTTTTCGAAAGATTTTCCGATTTTAGAGTTTTCGGGTCAGTCTGAAGAGATAGCATGAATTCTTTATTTTCTATTTTATACAAAGATAGCTTTGACCTTTTTTGTTGGAGTCACCTCGATTCTGGACGTACTCAAGTTGATGGAATGATATACTAAGAGGCAAAGTACAATGACCAAATACTAGCCTCTACCAGCCCTGGAGTAAATAAATTACATACCACATAAGCTGATTGGAGTGGATTAACACAAAATATAGTTGAGAGAAAGATGGATCAGTGGAATTGTTACTCGTTCTTTTTTGATCAATTCCAGTCCATTCAAATGGATAATTCCAGCTTTTGTAATGTACAATAAATTGCCGGCAGGCCTTGAGAATCGCCCACCCCTGGTGTTGACAGACCGGACTTTTCCGTCCAGCTGAGGTTAGGCTCTGGGGGCTGCCAACATCTAGGTAATTTCAGAC